GTATAGTTTCCTCACTTATGAAAATTTGACCTACAATTATGAAGCTTAACCTACAAGGTTTTTCCACCTCCCATATTTAGCAACAAGACCACAGTTCCTGTTGTGCGTTGGGAAAGGTGGGAAAGCGATACAGGAAAATGCCCGAATACGGTTTATTGTCTTTAATCTATGTAAAAAGGCTGGTATGACATATAAGTTAGGAGATGAAGGTTGAGAAGCGTAACAACATCTCCTGCACCAGAGAACATTATGTGGAAATAAACTCCATCCTCCCAAACTGAGCGCCGCACCTCTGGTCTGGTTCATTGCTTTTATGGGTGAAACAACAGAAACTAACATTATGAATAATTTTAGGGAAAGTAAAATATATTAGAAAAAGTTCCCTACCTTCAACTCCACAGTTTGGTACTGTTAAGAAAAAAAAATATTGAATCAGAGCACAATGTTAACAAACAAGGCGAAATACCACAGTCAGAGGGTCAGACCGGCTTTTTGGCACTTTCCCGGTAATTATGAACAAAATAATCCTATTGGCCAGTTTTTTAAAAATCCATATTTTTCTCCTATGGCCATTTGGTGTTACTCCACATCAGTATATAACAGCTCACCTTCTGGTTCAGAGGCAAAAAACTGAAATCCATTGTTGCAATTCGGAACATGACTATGGAAAACAGAACAGATGTTATTGTTATGGACTGAGATTTTCAAAGCAAGGATGGATGGTTCCATACATAGAAGACTAAAAAAAAGTCAAATATAGAATAAACAGTATAAACTTCATAGGGTAAATAAATTAATGTGTATGGGAATATAAAATATCTGAAAACTTGTTTTACATAAAGTTTATTTTCTACTACAGAAAGCCATGGAGAATTAACAGAAAAGCAAAAAGGACCTTCCTGTCCAGGCTTATAGATCGGTTTGTCAGTCTGCATGATGGGGAGGCTGCCAGACGGAATGATAAAGATCTTGGTATTTTCTGTTACATGCTCAGTGGGCCCCTTGAAAGTGGCACGTAAGGTGGCTACTCTGGGGGAGGACACAGCAGGAACCTGAACAGGGGAACGAGAAGAACATGAGAAGCACAGGCGAGGGGCACAGCCATT